CCCTGTTATGAATGGAGAAACTAAGGCTAGGATGTTTGAAATGTAAATCAGTTCATAGCATACAGTACTAAGCAGGGAGGGAGGCCTCAGCAGTTCTTTGATCAAAGTGAGATAATATTTGTAAATATCTTAGCACAAAGCCTGGCACTTAGTAGGTGCTTAATAAATGTTTATTTCCTTTGTCTTTAATTTTAAATCCTCTGGCCACTAAGCTAGGATGCTTTCCCTCTCTGAATTACTAAGTATGCTGGGAAAAAATGCCTACCTATCTCTCCCATGCAAAGGCAGCCAGGAATTCTGGGGGGATTCCAGAATTGGCATTATATAGCTTCCCTAGCTACCAAGCAACTGCAAATCCTCCTTTCTCTCCAATTATCCTGATTCAGGAATAATGGAGAATCCAAATCCTGAATGCTAAAATTGGCCCAGGTCTAAACTGTGTCTTTTTGAAAAGGTTAAAGCCTTTCATTTTTAAAAATGTGGTTTACAAAATTGGTCACAGATTTCAGCATCTCCAATTCCAGCATTCAAGTAAAGAAAGTCTGGACATCATGAACTTTCTCCCAGTTCTCTTAAGCGCTTTCTACCCAGATGGATTTGGGAACAAGTTCTACAATTCTGAGAGCTGGTAGACAAGTCCCAGACATCAAGAATCAAGTACATTTCAGAAAAAAAAAGGATAATAAAGGGTGACAGAAACCCTTCAACCTTTTCCCAGTGTGTTGTGTTCTGCAACTTGATATGGTTTTTGTATTTTGCATTTCTCCAGTATTTCCAATTACTTTTGCTGTTCATCTGTAACAGTAGCCTTAGTGTTTAAAAGTTCAGAATTTCAAGGCAGCTCTTGTAAAGTACATTGTGTCCTTTTCTTGTTTTTTAAAAAGTATATATTCATCATTTTCATTTAAAACAATAACTTGGGGGAGGGGGTGTAAGAGTACATAGCATTATTAAGTGTTTTACCTCTTTCTAGTCAGATAAGCATTTCAATGGCCAGGTCTCAGTGGAAGGTATATAGAGTGTAGTGGAAAGAGCATTAGATTTGGAATCTGAGGTCTTCACTGCAAATGTCTCGGGCTCAGCTACTCACTTGCATATGTGTGACCTTGGGCAAGTCACTTTAATTCTGTGACCTCAATTTCCTCATTTGTAAAATGAAGCAACTGGACCATTTGCCCTTCTCCAGCTCTTATGAACTGTACTGTTCAATGAAATAAATTAATCATTTATTAAGCCCCTACTAAGTGTCAGGTACTATTCTAGGCCCTGGGGATACAAAGCAAAAGCAGTCCCCATCTTCAACGAGCTTATATCTTGATAGGCAGACAACATATACACAAATTGATATATCAGGATAAATATTTACTTTTACTATTTTTTTTCTTAGGCCATACCTACCAATCAACTGTTTGGACCAGTGAACTAAGAATGACGTCCAAATAGTAATAGGTTTACATATTTCTAGACTGATCCCATATGATCATATTAGGGTTTAAAGGTATATCCTGAAGAAGTTTCTGAATCTCTGGGAATCAAGCAAAGAGAGACCAAACCAAAAAACTCCAAAGCAGAAAGTCCATTTCTGCCAATGAAACTCCCAATCAGGGATTCATAGCATTGTCTCAGTTTTTCCTCAAGCCTGTAATTGGAAAATTCACTAAAAATAATACCAGCTAGTTGTTTGAGTTTCTTTGTTTTTTCCCTGCTGCTGGCTGGCTGTATCAATAAGCCCGCAAAGACTTATGTTTTCAGCACTCTGCTGGTACACAGGACTTCTGCTTAAGTATAGGTTACACTAGATAACCTCTGTGGTTCGTGTCAGTTCTAAGATTGTATGATTCTACTGTGACAATAGACACTTTTCCTGACCTTATAGTCTAATTGAGGTCATATGAAACAATTAATTCCCAATATAAGATGGGATACAATTAGATGATTTGGTTATGTACTATAGATGTTTATCAAAGGAAGAGTGAATGGAATATGGAATATCAGAGAATCCTAGAATTTAAGAGTTAAAAGGGCTTTCCAAGATCTAGTCCAAGCTGAGGAGGATCTGTACACCTAACACGCCACTGAACTCAGGAGAGAACTAAGTTCCAAAAAAGTAATTTGGTCAAGATCCTATGGCTCTTTAGTGGTATGGTCAAATCTGGTAGGTGGAGAAGGCTTCATTAAAAGAGCTGGAACTGAGGCTGAGCCAAGTGTAGGAAAGAAGTAAAGACATTTCAGGTGAAAGGATTGTATGTTCTCTCTACGAAGAACGATTTGTTGTAATTGCTAAAGATCAGACCAACCCCACCTCCAGCAGTTCCTGGCACTGAAATGCAGACAAATTCTATTCTTCTCTTTCCTTCATTTTTAAGCCAAAGGATACTTTAACTTACCTCTAGCAGGTTTGAACATTAAATGCCTTTAAGCACCCTGCACTCTGATGAAATAAACAAGCAAACAAATGGTACACACCAAGGAACATAAAGATAACCCTGCAGAAAGACACTGGCCTACACCCTCACTGCAGGTGCCTAGCAGAACTGAGGCAGATAGAAGGGCTCTACCTGTACTGTGTTATCTTGCCCCCATTTTTAGAATGAAGGTAAGCAAACAGCAGAATGTAGGAAGTAAAAACCAGTAAATGGCATAATTATTTGTGAGACTCTAAGACCTCTACCTACCTTCAAAGAAAGAAATGTGCACAATTTTAGCAGTTACTCATACTTCTCTAATAAGTTAAAATTCTGTATACACACACAACAGGAATACACTATTTAACAAAAAGATTCCCCTTCTATTCTTTAAATATCTGTTGATAAGGAAGCTTCTTCTCTTCCCTCACTGAAAGTTTACTCTATAACATTTATACAAGGATCATAAGGATACAGTAAAAAGTATCCCAAAGGTTAACTGCACTAAGGCTTTTGTACTCTATTTAGTAAGATTATTCTTCCATTCTCCACTTCCTTCACTGAAGGTTTAATTTATCAACATTTATGCAAAAATAATAGGATCGCAGATTTAGAGCTGCAAGGTTCCTCTAGTCCAATTCTTTCATTTCACAAATGAGGAAACTGAGGCTCAGACAGAAGTGTCACAAGATCACACAATGGCAGGTCCTCCATCAAACTGGATACCAAGTAGCCTATTCAAACTTCACAGAAGAAAATTTGGCTGAATAACGAACACCCAATTCTTATTTGCAGTTTTATGTTCAAATGACTGTCAATGCCATATTTAATGCCTTACAAAACATGAGGGTTTTATTTTTTCCTAAGAAGGTGAAACATTAATTTTTTTAAAATTAAGATGACAGGTTTAAAAGAAACCCAAAACATCACTGTTTATCTTTTTAAAAAGACATTTCTGGAGATTATTACTTCACTCCTTTTCTGCATACACGAAGTTGTTAAAGAAATTGCTACAAAGTGTCTTTTCATCAAAAAAAAGTATCACCAGACAGCTTTCACTTAACTGAACATCAAGCATTTAAACTGCCAACACTGAACAAAAATATTTTAATGTGTTCAATTATTCACTACACTTCAGCATTGACTAGGTGTTTGACTATACTACCACTTATAGTTAAACGAACATTTGTTTTCAATATGATGTGTAAAACACATTGCTAAGCTTCAGCAGAAAGATTCAGGTTGACATTCCTGAATTCATGACGCTTGTAGTCAAATGGGAAGACAAAAAAACATACAAGTAAATATAACACACAGTAATTCATGATAAGTACATTACACTTCTAAATACAAACTGGACACCTACTGTATCTTTAAAAGTTCCCGAAGTGGTCAACCATGCTAGCAATGAACTGGTGTAATTAGTCACCATCAAGTGCATAAACGTAACTTTCCAGCCAGTGTAAAAGAAAAAATTTTAAACTATTCATTGAAGAGATTTCAGCAACAAAAACGATTTCACAATTCTAGGTGAGACAAGAGACTTTTGTGCCAAAATTTCAGCCCCACAGAAATTAAAGTCGTGGGGTACTTTAGTGCCGAGGATAACAGTATCAATGTGATTCCGAAAGACTTAGGAAACAACAGAAAATTTCAATTAAGAGAGGGAAAGCAAAGTATCAAGGGAGAAGAAACTTAAACTGAGGGAAGTCTTGCGGTTCTTGAATGCATTACTCGCCACCTTCCCAGAGTGTTTAATTTGGATATTAAACTACAGTTTACTTACACTGTTTCTTTCCATTAATCAGCTTCATTAAAGATACAGCGGAGCAGGTCACCAGCAGAATAAATAAGGTTTAGTTTGGATACAAGTTGTAAATACGACCTGCAAATTTACATCCCAGAAAGTCTAGTCTGGAGACACCCTTTAGAACCTAACATTATATAACACAGGCAGTGTATTGTGAAATAACTCATTTTAGCCTTCTGAACACTGTAAATTACAATCAAGCCACAAGCTCCCAACCAGACCAAAAAAAAAAATGAGCCTTTTCATTGGTCTGTATTGTCCCAGCCCACATGGTATCAGTGGGTGTGTCCCCCCGGGTTGGCCCTCTGATTGGTTACATAGAAGCACCATTTAATAGGCTGTGATTTGGGGGATTGTCAAACTACACACCTCCTGACTAGACGTTCACCAATAGACCAGTGAGGTTGGAGGCTACTCTGCAATTCAAAGGGCAAGAAAATCGTCAGAGGAGCGAAGGGAGTAAGAGGCTGCAGCCTCGGGGAGCCCAGGGAGCCGGCCGAAGGCGGCCCCTCCTCCCAGCCATGGTCCCCCGCAATGCATTCTTCCCAGCCACAAATAAGACGGCGCAAGCCTCTACCGAGGGTAGATGCCTCACAGCCCATCCCTCCGGAGAAGCGCCAGGCTGTCACGAGTAGCACCCACACCGGAGGCCGCCCCGTGCAATCCGGGGGTGTGAGTTGGGGGCGCCCGGTGGGCAGTGCCGGACCGAATGACACCCCCCTCTACCCCCAGCCCCCCGCCCGGGCTCCTCCGCCCTGGGCTTCCCCTCCCCCGGCACCACTTACGCGGCCTGTTCTTCCTCCCCGAGTCCATTCTCCTCCGGAGCCTGCATTTCTTGGCCGGGGAGTCGTGGAGCGGCGGCGGCCCGTCGGGCTGCGGCTGCGGCTGCGGCTGGGGCCGGGGATCCGCGCTGCTGCTGCTACTGCTGCCACAGGGTCGCTGCTGCAGCTGCGGAGGCGCCGGTGGCGCCGGGGGGTTGAAGCCGTTGTGCAAGATGCCGTTCACCAAGGCCGCGGCACCGCCAGGGCCCCCCGGAGGGTGAGGGTGCGGGCGCGGGGCCGAGCGCTCAGGCTGCTGCCCTCGGTCTCCCATGCCGGAGCTGGAGAGGGCGGGGGCTGGACGAGGTAGCGCGGGAGGACGGGGCCCAGCTCAGGCTCGCTTGCTGGAGGTCATTCTCGGTCGTTTTTATTTCCCTGTATCCTCCTCCCTGCGGCTTCCGATCCAGCCGCCGCAGAGCCGGCCCTGGAGGACGCCGCCGAGCCCTCCGCTCCTCCCCTCCCCTCCCCTCCCCCCTCTTCCCTCGCTCTCTCCCTCCTTCTTCCTCTCCTCCTCCTCCTCCTCCTCCCCCCAGCCCCTCGGCCCCACTGCGCCTGCTTCGTACATGCCAGCCCACCCCCGGGCTGGGCACTCGAACTCTGGCAGGCCGGGGGCGGCCAGTGCCCTGGGATCCCCACACCCCGGGCGGCCGGAGTTCAAAAGCTTCCTCTGGCTCCCCAGACCTGTTCCCGAAACTGAGCATGCCCGGGCCTTCTCAGATTTGCCCTACTGGCGGCTTAAGTGGTCGGGGTTCCTGCCCCCTGCATTCCTGGGGGCACAAGCTGGGATACTGTGGTGGGTGGATGCGGGGAAGGAGCTGGTCTGGAAGGAAGGTGGGAAGAATCCTTTCATTTCAAAGCAGGAAAGGACACTTCTTTTACTCATCTAGTTCAACTGAGTCAGAGAGTGGGGAAGTGACTTGTCTAATATCACACAGGTACGCACAAACTCGGGTTGGTAAGATATCGAATACGAGATCCTGAGCTTTTCTTCACATAAACAAAGTTTCACCCAACCAAAAACACGATAAATCCTTTGCAAAGCCGCTCCCTCCGGCCCCTGCGTTCTCAGAGTAGTTTTTATTTGTGGAGTAACTGATTAATCTGAATTTCCTCTGAGATTTCCTCCATAATAGCACTAAATAGCTTTAATATGTGACTTTAAGATTTGCAAAGCATTTTACATATAACTCATTCAATCCCCTCGACAACTCTGGGAGATAGGTGCTATTCTTATCCCCATTTTACATATGAGGAAACCAAGGCAGATAGTTTAAGTGACTTGCCCAAGGTCACATAGATGGTCTCTGAGGCAGAATTTTCTCACAGGTCTTCCACCAACTCTGGTACTCTATCCACTGTTCCACCTGGACTCCTCACAGTTTACTCGGTACGTAATTGTTTGCTTCTAATCTCTCTTCACCCCCCACCCCCATTGGAGTGTGACATGAAGGCTTTTTTGCCTTTCTTTTATATCTCCAGCGCTTAGTGCAGTGTGTGACTGTAGTTAGCCTTCATAAGTGCTTGTTGACTGACTGACTGACAGTAAAGAGGCAGACTGGGTGGGAGTGGGGGTGGTGAAGAAGAAGGACATTTATTTATAGTAAGGTAGGCAGACGTGGTAGAGAGAGAGGGAGGTTTCTGGGCTGGCAGTCACACACCATGAGGTCACTCTGAGTTTTCTTTCCAGAGAGAAAACTTAGGAACACAGTGAAAGGGGAATTAAAGGACGTGGTGGGGGATAGGGTTACCTGAAAATGGAAAAGCAGAAATACAGGGGATTTAGGGAAATTCCATCCCTGGACCCCATCAAAGGCAGCCAGGACTATAGAAACACTGGTCTAATCCCCAGAGGACACCACTAATATAAGGTGACCTTGATCTGGAAGACCCAGCAGTACTGGTCACCAGAAGTGGAAGTAAAAGGCAAAGGTCCCTTTAATTCCCTCCCGGCTGTGTGCACAACCCTAAAAAGCCTTGGGTTTAAAATACAGCCTTGATTGTGGCTCCAGAACACCTAGACACAGCCTTGTTTCTGTTTTGAAAGCCTGGTGTTATTTGTGGATGAGCCACACTGCCATAAGCTGCTATTTGTCTTTTACAATTTAATCATTTTAATAATAGATTGTTATGCTACAAATGGAGCCTGTACTCTGTGCTGAGCCTGGGTGGTGGATAGACTCCTAAGGGTAATGAAGCTGTTTCATTTGGTAAAGTATCATCTACTGGGTGATACTTTTCTCAGGAGCCCTCTCACTTTCTACAACTTTTTCTTGCTTAAATCTTCTGGGAGGAAAAAAATGAAATCTATGCTTGCAAATGCCTACAGTTTTCAAAATCCTGCCTGGGTGAGCCATGCAGCCTTTAGTTGGCAAGGTAAATTTGGAATGCAAATAGAAAGTTTTTGCATTACAGTATCTACCAGGATACATTATCTCTTTCCTCGTCCTCATTCGTCCCCCAAGCCTTCCTTGTGCTTCACTTACAGCCAGATGGCACAGACCCAGGGCAAAAGTGACTGCCCTTGGGACAGAACGTCCTCCACCTTGTTAATTTCTTATGCCTCTTTACTTGTGGGTCTTCTGGTTCTGTTACAGCCACCCTCTGCCTCCAGTGACCGGTGGAAAAGAGCCAGGTTGTAGCTCACAGGCTTAACCAAGGGGGTGTGAGAGAGGGTGTGTTGTGGGTGTAACTTGACCAAAGGAATGTACAGAAAGGGAAGGAGTCTTTTAGAGTATAAACCGTGAGACTTTACCTTCTCATCTCCAGTAGTTCTTGCCAGAGGCAAAAGAACCTATACAATAGGGTCCCAGAACACATAACAGCTCTGGTGATGTCTGCCAGGGTCCCAAGAAAATGTGATACAGATGCTAGTCACAACCCTTGAAGACAAATAGGGCAGCACTATAGCAATGACCTTGAAGCCTAAAGCAGTTTATATTCATCCTAGCCCATCCCCCCACATACACACCCCTCTTCCTTTTGTGCTGCCTCCAAAATCTGATTCAAAATTCCTAGGCCTAGAAAGGAAAAGCTAAAGTCCTAGCACAGATAGAATGTCACTTCAAATGCCCAGGCCCTTTTAAGAGACTGTCATTTCTCCCTTCTCAACCCCAATCCCTAAGGCACAGCTGTTTAGATAGTCCTAAACTATTAAAAAAAAATAGCCATAAATTGAAAGCTTCTGTTTCTATAACTTGCCCTCCTGTGAAAAGTTCTAGTTATTATCTTCAACCCAACCCCTACTTCACTACCCCTTTAGTTTCTCTCATTTTAACTGCAATCATCAGCCATGCAATGTCTGCTCCTTCTGTCATCCTGTCTGAACCTTTGACCTGTCTTATTCCTATTCCAGCTCAGACTTTCCAGTTCTGCCCGACCCCCAGCTTGCCTAACTCTTAGCCATTAGCTACAATGTATGCCTGCCTATCTTCATTACTCACTTTCTCAGGAAGCCACCTAGGTATCCATGTCACACTATTAACACAGCCTGACACTAGATAGGGCACGTGGTCTATGTTTAATGGTCCTTAAATGGATGAATATTTTGATTGATTGAGGATCTTATCTCATTAACAATATTAAATCTTCCATGAATGAATGACTATATATTAAAGACTGTTAGGCATTGTAGTAAGCACTGAGGATACAATGTTTAAAAAAAAGATAGGCCTAGCCCCTTAAGGAGCTTACATTTAATAAGGAAAGAGATCACCTATAGGACAGAGGTGACCAAGGAAGGCAGTTTTGTTCTGAGCAAGTGGAAAGTGAAATAAGCAGAGAGGAATGAGGTACTACAGGCAGGTAGCCAGGTGAATGACTGGACAGGATGTGAAACTGAAATGTATGGCATCTAGATTTTCTTAGTCTCTACCTTCTGAGAATTCTCTCCTTCTCCAAGGGGTAGGGGAGGGGGATGCCCTTGACAGCAGCCCTAGTCTGCCAAGAATTAGTTAACATTCAAGGGTAAGGCTAGGTAGTTGGAGGAGTGGGGATACCCAGACCCTTCTCAGAAGTACCGGAGAATGATAGGAATGTGGTCTGCTAAAGACAGAGAGTTTACAAACCCAATGGGAGCTCCCAGTCTAAAGAAGTGGAAGCTCCTTGGATAGAAGAGGGAAAAAAATCCTGAGAAACATCTGTACCTTGCCTCTCAGACCATGCCATTGAGGGCGCAACCCTTTCTGCTGGAGCAGGGAGTGGCATCACAGATTTCATTGGCTCATGATAGCAATAAGGTCACATCAAATTTTACTTTACTCTCTACCTGTCTGCCTGAAAGCTGCATTGCTGGGGCAGCTAGGTGGTGAAGTGGATAGAGCACTGGCCCTGAAATCAGGAGTACCTGAGTTCAAATCCAGCCTCAGAGCAAACACTTGACACTTACTAGCTGTGTGACCCTGGGCAAGTCACTTAACCTCAATTGCCTAAAAAGAAAAGTTTTTTTAAAAGCTTTGTGGCTTTCTGAACAGAAAATACTCCCGCCCTGATCACTACTCTCTTATAATTGCTGTTTCTCCATATTAGAATATAAACTTCTTGAGGACAGGACTGTCTTCATTTTTATGTGGTACTTATAGGCAGCTAGGTGTCATTCTGGAGTCAGGAAGATCTGAGTTCAAATTCAACCTCAGATACTGGTTGTGTAACTGTGAGCAAGTTACTTCCCCTCTGCTTGCCCCAATTTCTTCATCTGTAAAATAAGGATAAGAAAAGCACCTACTTCCCAGGGTTGTTTTGAAGATCAAATGGAGTAGTAATTAGAAAGCTCTCAGCACAGTACCTGGCACAGAGTAAGTGCTATATAAATGTTAGTTATTATTGGCTATTATTCCTTAATACAATATGGGGCTATCTATATGTGTGTATGTGTGTGTGTATATATATATATATATATATGTGTGTGTGTGTGTGTGTGTGTGTGTGTGTATGTGTGTGTGTGTGCATACACACACATATACACACATGTATACACACAGAGAACTATAATAAGACAGTATCAGTAGCCTGGTGAAGTAGAAAGGTTGTTCAAACCCCACTTCTGCCACCAGTGTGGCCTTGGGTAGGTCATAGCCTCTATGGGATTCAAGTTAACTATCTGTAAAATGAAGGGATCGTATTGAGGTTCCACCAAATATATGCTCCTATGATGAACTAGGAAAATATTAGCATTAAAAAGATGAGTTTTGTAGCAAAAAGCAGATTCAGATCATTGAAACTACTAAACAATTTCTACTCTATTTATTTAGGCAACTGGGGTTAAGTGACTTGCCCAGGGTCACACAGCTAGTAAGTGTTAAGTGTTTGGTCTGAGGTCAGATTTGAACTCAGGTCCTACTTGACTTCAGGGCCAGTGCTCTATCCACTTTGCCACCTAGCTGCCCCAGAATTACTAAACAATTTCTTCTCCTCCTATAAACCCACATCCAAG